GGTTCAAAAAAAAAAAAAAAAATTGGAAGTGTGTATCATTTTTCTTTGTGTGGCAGTAAATTTTTAGGGGAAACTCTTGCGAAAGTTTCGTAGTGAATTTTCTTAAACATTTATTTTTGTAAAAAAAATTAAAAATTAGTAATAAAAAAAAATGGTATCTACTGCCTCCTTAAGATGAAAATTTAAACCACTTTAAATTTTGATCTAGACTGAACCCCTGAAATCTGTCTAGATGTTAGCACTCTGAAATACTCTTATATACTGACTATCTGCTGGGCCCCTCTGAACCTCTAGCCTGTTCTCATTCCGAATAAGCTCAAGGCTCGTGTAGCAGCCTTCACTAAACAAGCTAAGTAAGTGTGGGGCTGGGATTCAATGCATCCTACTACATAGCCAGTAACCCTTGAACCGCTTACACCGATCTGCTCAGTAGGGAACCAAACTTACAAGCATACCTACTAGACCGCAGAAACTCTCCCTCATACTCCGGAAGATAGCTCATCCGTCCCTTTGTCTAAGCTCAAAGGAACTCTGCTTACCTCTGATCCGTGTTATAACTCCCTACATTATTTCTCCCCGAAAAGCAGAGAGAACAGATAAATCTCAAGTAAATCCTCAGCTTGCTGTCTCACCATAGACGCCCACATAGGTAAGCTCTTCCTTTACAGGAACAAACACAAATCAATCTATCTGCAGGAGTACACTGGCATCTGGTCCAAAACCCCTTCTGTAGCTTGGAGCCAAATTTCTGCTGCAGAAGGGTTATCCCCTCTCTCCGACCCCATAAAAATCTCACCACGGATACTTCCTCAGTCTTCTCTACCGGGGTAATGAACTGGAACAGGGCTGGTGCGACTGGAGCCTGGGACAGCTCCCGAGCTTGCCTCAATGCACGCTACCAACTGTGTAACAAATAACCTGATTTAGGCCCGAGGACAACCAGTAGCCTGCCCTTACATACCGAGGCAGCACTGCATTCGGAACCGCCAGAAATGCCACAGCCACACCACAGCTGGCATAATCACCCTCTTACCATAGCAACCGGCTCTGGAGAGGGCAAGGCTAGGTTTCACCATCAGGCTCTGCTACAAGAGTACCAATCTCTAGTCACAGATAAGGTGCATTCATCTAGCACAAGAGCAACTATGCCTTTCTACTTTGAGTGCATCTGCCACGACATTACTCTAACCGGGTGGTAATCAAATCGTGAAGATCATAGTCTTAAGTAGCTCTAACCATCTGCGCTGGCCTCAAGTTAAGCTCTCTCTGCGTAAGCAGATACTTACAGGCTCTATGATCCCGTCAACCAAGTGGCATTTTCTCACCATACAAAGTAATGTCTCCAAAGCTCAAGGCAAAACAATTAGCTGCTAACTTCAAATCAACTGAGTAGTGGTAGTTTTTTCATGTGGCTTAAGCTGTCGGGAAGCAAAGCAATCACCTTGCTCTTTGCATAAGCACAGTAAAACCAGCCCAAACCTTATGCGAGCATCTACTATAAAACAAAAGATAGATGGAGCTGGGCTGTGTCAAAACTGGAAGAATAAAAATCGGAAAAACTAACTTTGGCATCTATCAGTCCACTCAAAACGGACATACCTTACAGAGAAGAAACGGGGCTGCAATAAAGAGAAAAACCCCATGACAAAACCAAAAATACAGCCAAACCTAAGAAATTCAGAATTTCTGTAACATTAGTAGGTAGACCAATCAAAACAAGCCTCAATCTTCTTCGGGACCCGAATACCCTTGGAAAACATGAAGAAAGCAATCAAAGTCAAACTGGAGCTGCATATAACATCGTCAAAGGACTCATGGTCTAGAACTATTCGTAAGGTGGTTGAATAATGACATACCTCTTAGTAAAACTAATACATCATATAAAAACCACACAAAAAATAAACTGATCAATAAGGAGAAGATCAGTTTCAAAATCCATAAACACTGCTGGAGCATTAAGTCACAACCAAATGCGAAAAAAAACTCATAGTGACCTGGTAGCGTGTCCTGAAAGCAGTCTTAGGTACATCTGATCCCTTCACCATTAAAGATATAAATAAAATCTTCGAGAAACCTAGAAACACATACTCAACATAAGAATACAATCATAAATAATCGAGGCAATGGAAGCATATGACCAGGAATTTTGTCCTAGTGACAGTGACTAAAATCAACAAATATGGGAAGGCCAAGCTCGCTTATCCAGACAGAGGATAGAGGCCAAGGCTCTGGTCGAAGACAGTCTTCTGAGACTGTGGAGAGACCCCAACAAACGAGGGCTAATGCATCAAGAGCAGCAGGGATGCACTGAGCTCCATCAATACCCGTTCTCTATCTTTGACACTTTTTGTAACTTGCTTTGATTGATCCGGGCTCCAGCATACATAATATGCATCCCTGTGGGTAAAGATTGGGAGTTGAACAATAAGCTGATACCATTTAGACGCACAGCGTTTGAAGTAACGAGCCAAAAAGTCAGAGTGTAGTAGTTAAATCGGTGTATAGAGATTCGCCCTTAGTCATTCATGGAGTATTGTTATTTTTCTAGGTGATTTGAAAGAAAGTATGAAGTGATATTGGGTATGGAATTGGCTGTCTAGACAGGGAGTCATTGTTGATGTAGACTAAGAGGATAAACACTCCCCAATTCATCTGGTGAGGAGATTGTAGAAAAGAACGGATCCGTCTCAAATTTTATTTCTGGTAAGCTAGAGACTGAATAAAAAGAGGCCTACTTAGCCTATGTACATCCAGACGTCAGAATCTTCTAGTGTTCATGATATCAGATATATATAATCCAAGATGTGTTTCCAGAGGATAATATGCCATAACATCCTGAAGAGAAATGGTATTGAGGTTATGAACAATTAGCAAACTCGATTATCCAAGACCGTACGAATGGGCACCAAATAGCTGATTGAAAGAGTTAATACGGAATTAATGATAAGGGTTTATTCGTCAAGTGTAAATCCACCCCTTAAATTTGGGGGGGGGGTTTAGGGGGGGGGGGGGGGAGGGAACTTTTTTTTTTCAACACAAACCCAGTTTTTATAATTATATTTTTTAAAGTTTTGTAAAGAAGAACCTTCACTTAGAATTATATTGATTACAGACAACTAATACCGTGATTAAATAAAAAAAAAAATTATGTGAAGCTATGATCATATGCTAGGGTTATCAGCCCTTATAAATAGCGGACGCGCTTATTTGTGTGATGGGCGTCGGTGCTTTCATAGGCACGATTGTGTTGATGGGGTGGTGCCTTTCATAAGGCCACGGGTAGTGCTTCATAGGCCACTGAGTGGTGTGATTGGGGTGGCGCTAACATAGGCCACAAATCAAGATCTACTTATGTTCCATTCTGTATGAGTAATGTAGCCTTAAACGAAAAATAATTTTATTGTTGCTGTATAAAAAGAATGAAGACATATTTGTATTTTATTAATCTTCTCATTGCCTTTCAAAGATTTTGGAATTAACATGATGCGATTTCGGTTATTTTATATAGTTGAGTAATTTAAAGTTTTTTCCTTGGTTTGTTAATCTATAATTGGTTGGTTAATTTACCACCACTGATTTCCACTCAGCGCGTTGATTTATTATCACCGCGCAGCGTTTAGGAGCGGAGGTGTTCTCAAGAACCAGAGGACCGAGCATCAGAGTAGATATCACATTCTTGGTAGGATATTTGTAAAATGGTGATTTTTTTGGGCATGTATAAAATATTGTGTTGTGAACGTTGGATATAATAAGTTTGTCATGTAATTAAGAGTTATGATTAATTTAAAGAAATCAACATTATTATATTTTGGTGTATGATGATTAGAGTAGCGTATATTGTGGATATTTAGAAGTGTGTAGTATGTTGTTGAAATGGAGGTTTGGGAGTTCAAAAAAAAAAAAAAAAATTGGGAAGTGTGTATATTCTTTGTTGCGTAAAGTAAAATTTTAGGGAAACTTTCTAATTTGTGATCTAGCTTTTATAGTGAAATAAGATGGTGCTCCGGCACCGATTGTGGCATCCACCGTCTGGTTCTTTGGGATTGGTCGGTGGGTGTTACAGGTATGCATGGCATTTTCAAGAAATTGCAGTCTCTGAAGCGGGCCATCCAATCCTGGAACCAAAGTCAGTTCGGAAATGTCTTTAATGAGAGGGCTCGGTTGGAAGAAGACGCTGCTACTGCTGAAAATCAATATTTAGCCGATCCCACTCCTTCTAACCGTTCTTCCTGGCAACTAAAGGAAGCACTACTTCTTAAAAGACACAAGCAAGCTAAGATATTCTGGAGATAGAAGGCCAACATTAAATGGTCACAAGATGGAGATGCAAACACTACTTTCTTCCACAATTATGTCCGAATGAAGAGAAAGTTTCAACGTATCTCTACCATTCAAGCTGCTGATGGAACTTGGCTGCAGGATTCAAAGGACATAGGCAAGGAGGCTGTTCGTTTTTTCGAATCATTATTTACTACCGTGGAAGATCAAGATATGGTTCCGTTGCTTGACCTTATACCGTCGATTATCACAGAGGCTCAAAATCAGGCTTTGGAAACTATACCTCTTGAATCAGAAATTAAACAAGCTGTGTGGCAATTAGATCCTAATAGCGCAGCCAGACCAGATGGTTTTGATGGGTTCTTCTTTCGTTCTTGTTGGGATATTGTGAAATGGGACATGTGCAGTGCAGTACAAGAATTCTTCTTGTGTATTCCCATCCCCAAAGACTTCAGCAAAGCTATGATAATTCTCATTCCCAAGGTCGATCATCCCTCCTCTTTTGGACAGTTTCGGCCTATTTGCCTGCTACTTTCCTGAGTAAGGTATGTACACGCATCCTAGCTAATCATATTGCTCCACTTCTTGATCAATTAATCTCTACAGAGCAAGCGGGATTCATGAAGAACAGGTCCATCCATGATCAAATTTTAATAGCCAATGAGCTCATCCATGATATTGACAGAAAAACTGGAGGGCATAACCTTGCAATTAAACTGGATATGGCGAAAGCATTTGATCGTATATCGTGGAAATACTTAGAGGCTGTTCTCTTGAAAATTGGATTCTTTGACAAGCTAGTTAACTTGATTCTTTCTCATCTCAAATCTACTATCTTCTCTGTTTTGATCAATGGCATTAGCTATGGCTCGTTTCGTCCAACACGTGGAATTAAACAGGGGATCCGCTTTCGCCACTCTTGTTTATTTTGGCTTCAGAAGGCTTTTCGAGGGGACTCAAAACAGTTGGTAACTTGAGGGAAAATTGCTCCTTACAAGACAGCTAGAGGATGTGATATAATTACTCATCTCGCCTTTGCAGATGATCTCCTCATATTCATTAATGGAGATGTTAAAAGTGCCAAGCAATTTAAAGAATTCCTGCAACTTTATCAAAGAGCCTCTGGGCAATTGGTTAACCTTAGCAAAAGCTCATTCGTTTGTTCTTCACAAGTCACCTCGGCTTACAGGGACAAAATTCATTCTATTCTTTCCATCACTGGTAAAGATCTTCCATTCATGTACTTGGGGGCTCCCATCTATAAAGGCATTAATAGGGCTCAATATTGTTCTTATCTACTTCAGAAAATCGATGCTAAGCTGAAAGGATGGACAAAAAAGTTTCTTTCCATTGGGGGTAGACTGCTCCTTATTAAACATGTTCTGAGTTCAATTCCGAGACATACGCTGAGAGCCATGTCTCTACCAAAAAGTATCATTGCTATCCTTGAAAAAAAGTTTGCAGATTTCTTCTGGTCTTCTGACACTACTATTCGCAGGTATCATTGGTTGAAATATAGCAGATTTTGCTTCCTTGTGGAAGAAGGTGGTCTTGGTCTTAGATCACTGACCTCTCTCCAAGAGGCTTATTCACTTAAACTGTGGTGGAGATATTGCGAAGGAAAATCTTTATTGGCAAAGCTGCTACAGAAGAAATATCATAGGAAGGGACTAATGCAGTTTAAGACTACTGATTCCTATACCTGGAAAAGAATTTGTCAGGTTCATTCAACAGCTAGTACTTTAATTTCTATCGAGGAAGATGGTCCTTGTTGGCTAGCGAACAATAGGGAGAGCTTCTGTTTAAAATTAGCATATGATTTGGTGAGACAAAGGAAGTCAGCCACTCTCTCTTACCGTTCGATTTGGGATCCAAATATTCCTGCCAAAATCTCAATCTTCACATGGAAAATTTTGCAAGGGGTTGTGCCTCTTCCATCTCATTTGCAAAAGATGGGAATCCAGCTTGCTTCTTGCTGTCCCTTTTGCTGTGCAGCTGAGGGTTCAACTAATCATGTTTTCTTTAATTGTTCGAAAATTCAGCTGGTTTGGAAATTCTTTCGAGACTCTTTCTTTAATAAAGCGTTAACAGCTCCTTCCCTTTGACAAGAACTTGTTTCATGGTGGCTTCTTTATGCTCCTAAAACATCAACAGGTATAATTATTAGATACATTTGCCAATTAATTCTCTACTCAATTTGGTCAGCCTACTGCTGTCTCACCTAGGGCGAAGGAGGTTTTCATGTTCCTCACTTGCTGGAACAGATTCGTACATAGATCTACAAGTAGGGGGTTGCTCACTCAGAATCAAACTTTGCAAAGTCCATCCCTTTATTTCAAGATTACCTGCCTGAATTTTTCGGCAAAAAGTTGAAAATTATGCTGGTGTCTTGGGTCAAACCACAACCTGGCTTTTACAAACTCAACGTAGATGCTTCCTACACTTCTTCTTCTTCTGCGGGAGGTGCCATAATCAGAGATCATTCAGGTCCATAATCAAGATCATCTTCTTCTGCGGGAGGTGCCATAATCAGAGATCATTCAGGTAGCCTCATCGCTGCATACTGCTTCCCAATTCATGCCAGAGACTCTGAAGATGCTGAGCTCCAATCCTTATTTTTCAGTCTCCGTTGGAGTCAAAACTTACAGGCCTACCCCCTTATTATAGAGAGTGACTCCAAATCTACAATTGACTTCATCACCTCCTCAGATTCAGCCGGCAAGCCTCGATTGGCCAAACAGATCAAGAATCTAGTTCGGGATCCAATGTCTCTTTCTGCCATGTCTATCGAGAGGGAAATCAAGCTCTCGGCTCGTTTCAGTAGATTATTCTCAGTTAATTGTAATTTTCACACTTTTGCTTTTTTGCCCCACTTACTAAAAGGCATTGTTAATTCAGACATTTTGGATTCCTCATATATAAGATATAAATAATTTCCCTCAAAAAAAAAAAAAGTGACTCACATTCAATAATAAAGGATAAAATGGGTAATATAAGAGAAGCCAAATCACTGTTCCTTGAACAGTGATTATGGTTTTCATTTTAGCATATGTATAATTATTTATGTGATATATTATAGAATTGCTAATATTATGTACAAAAATGAAAAAGAACAATGATTGAATTGAAACAAAAAATAATTGTAATTGTTAAAAAATTACGTACAATATAGATTACTGTTAATGCTTAGTTGTTACCCTTATGCTCAATGATGAAAACCCTTCAATTCTCTAATTAATTTAAAGTTGGTAATTTTACGGATTGCTTGGTTTATAATTTTCATAGATATTAAACTATATTTTAGAATTGAATTTTGGTTTAGGCTAAGAATATATTTAAAGCCTAAAAAATAATTAGCAAAAGCTCAAAATACAAAATCCAAAAAATAATTAGTAATTACCCTAAAGTAATTAGTAACTGTTGAAGGATAAATAAAAGGGTCTGTAAAAAAAAAAAAAAAAAAAAAAAAATTACCTAAAGTAATTAGTAACTGTTTAGGGATAAATAAAGGTTGTAAAAAAAAAAAAAAAAAAAAAAAAAAAAAAAAAAAAAAAAAAAAAAAAAAAAAAAAGAGAGAGAGAGAGAGAGAGAGTTAGCGTAGGGGAGAAAAGAAGAGATAAGAATTGAAGAGAGAAGAAGAGTAGGGGAGTGAAAAGAAGAGATTCTTATCAATTAAGGAGTTAAAAAATAGAGAAGGGCAAATAATAATGAGTTAACTCTAAAAAAGAAAAAACACAACAAAAGAGAAAGAAGGTCAACAACAAATGGAAAGAAAAAAAGAGATAGGAGCGTGAGGCAGAAGAGAGAAAGAAGGATTTTTGGGAGATTAAATTAAGAACTCCTTATTACGAAGAAGAGGAGCGTATCTTGGACAATCAATCAATGAGAATCAATTCAAAATCAAAAAAAAAAAGAAAAAAGATCAAAGAAAAACTTGTTAAGTTCTGAGGAAGCAATCATTGCAATATAAAATCCATTTTGTTGTTTCGTTCTATCTAGTGATTTTATGAGAATGTCTATTGTTTTAGTCAAAAAACAGTTCGTGTAAATATGATTTATGAGAATAACAATTTAACAACGGTTAGAGTTCGAATTCTCGAACTCAAAAATCTAATCTAAACCAAAGGTATTGTATTTCCTCTTCGTAGTTTTGATAGCAGCTTTTAATATGTTATAAATTAATTTATTTATAATAGCCCTTTTTATTAGGAGATCTATATCATTTAAATACAAATGGAGATGTTATAATCAATTGTGGTAATTAATAATGAATGAAAAACTAATGAAGGTTATGAGAATCAATTCAAAAAAAAAAAAAAAAGATAAAGAAAAACTTGTTAAGCTGAGAGCATCATTGCATATAAAATCCATTTTGTTGTTTCGTTCTTATCTATGATTTATGAGAATTCTATTGTTTTAGTCAAAAACAGTTCTTGTATATGATTTATGAGAATAACATCTAACAAGCGGTTAGATTTCGAATTCTCGAACTCAAAAATCTAATCTAAACCAAAGGTATTGTATTCTCTTCGTAGTTTTGATAGAGCTTTTAATATTGTTATATTACTTTATTTAATATGTTTTTTTGGAGAATAATCATTTAAATACAATGGAGATGTTTATAATCAATTTGGTATTAATATGAATGAAAAATATGAGTTTTGTGGCTGAATTGAGTGACTTTTGTAGACAAAAATGTTAAAAATTCATTTTGTTCATATCAGTTATGGACCATTAAGTAAGAGTCTTATGCACCTGTTGTTATGCCTTTACGTACCAATAGCAGGACCTCATGCACCAGTTGATTAGAGGAAGCATACTAATTAATAGTTTTTATTGTCCTCATGGTTTAATTTTTATTTATTTATTTTGTTATATTACATTTTATTTATTCATTTTAATTTTGGCTTTTCAAATTTATATTTTATTTTAATAATTTAGGTAATTTATTTGATTTTAAATGTTTTTAGTTGATTTATGATAAGTTTAATTTAATTTGTATTAATTATTTACTTGAACCATAATTTAAATTATTATTGTTTTTTTCTTATTTTTTATATATTTAATTAGTTGGAATTTTATTATATATTTAGTTATTTTATTATTTATTTAGTTATGATATACTCCCTCTGTCCTGAAAAGATAGTCCACTTTCTATTTTCACATAGATTAAAAAAGTAACAATTATTATGGCCAAAGGACAATTTTATTTATGTAACTTTCCTGTTATGCACACTTTAAATAACTCATGAGCAACTATTGTATTGGAATAATAAATAAGAATTACTGAGAGTTATTAAAAATAAGATAAAATTTAATAAGGATATAATTGACAATTTAATAAGGATATAAAAGACAATTGAAGGATTAGCTATAATACAAAAAAGGAAAGTGGACTGTTGTCAATTTGCTCAAAAATTTATTACAACTTAGACAAATTTTATGATTTTCTTTAGAGACATTAAATTTCAAATGCGACAAGTATTTAGAAACAAAAGTAATGTATCTATATATATAATCTATTTATAATCTATAATATCTATCTATACTATATATAAATGTGGGAATAGGAGGGAAATAATGAGATTTCATATAATAGCCTTAGATTAATTTAGAATTCTTAATATATTCATTTAGTTAGATCTTTTATGCGTTTTAATTGGAGAAAATATGTGTATATATTTTCTTTATTTAATCTTGCATTATTGTTGTCCAATAATTTTTACAATTAATAGGTTTTGATGTTCTTAATTATAGGTTGTCATGTGATATTGCTTTCTAAAAAATAAATCAAAAACCTTAAAACAAGTATTGAAAATAAAATTTAAATTTTTAATTAATTATGTTCTGAATTTTTTAAAATACGGGTAAATATATTACTATTAGACCCTATTAGTTAAATACAATGAAATTAAAATAAAATTTTTAAATATATTCTTTCTCTTTAATTTTTTTTAAGATAATAGTGTATATTTATTTCGACTATTTACACATTGTTGTATTTGAATAATATCATAAATTTTTTTTCTTTTTTAATCTCATGAAATCTTATTAAAAAATACATTATAAAGATGAAATGTCAAAAAAAATTTAAGAGCTCTCTTTTTATTCAATACTTTATTCTATTTTTTTTTCGAATTTATAAAATTTCATTTAATTTTTCTATGATTTAATTGAACGTATTTTTTAAAAATAATTTTTAAAATAGATACAAAGATAATTACCCTTTGATATTTTAATTTTTAAAATATTTTTTAAAATAAATATATAAAACTTGAAATTTTTGAATTTAACTTCATATATATCTATCTATAAACTTGAGAGAGGAACTTCTATAAGTTCTATTACCAATATAATTGTTTGGGCATTGATTTTTAAGTTACATATTAACATTTTTTTATGTCATTTTGAAGCTTTTTTTAGTAAAGATAAAATCTTGAAATAAAAGTAGTTGCATGTTAAATATAAAATTAGATGTTGGAGATAGCCTAAAGTATCCTAAATTAGATATTAGATATTGAAGGGAAATAATGAAATTTTTTAATTTATCCGTAGATATAAGAGATATCCTAAAGTATCCTTAATCATGGGCAATTAAAATATTTTAATTAAAATCTTAAAATATTCTTAATTATTTCCAATTAAAATAAAAGGTTTTAATTAAAAATATTAAAATATCCATGCATAGCCAATTAAAAGTTTTTAATTAAAAACAAATAATGTTTTAGTTAAAAAATAAGTAATACTTTTTCCGTCCATAAATAAGTGTCACATTTGTGCTTTTCTTGTTCCTTAAGAAAGTCATTTAACTTGTCTAATTTGTAATAAATTATTTGAGTAAATTGACTATATTATATTTATTTACAATAACGAGAGAAAGATTTTTGAAAATTATAGCAATTAATATTTATCATTTGCAAAGAATAAAAATGGAAAAAAATTATTATTTTTAAAATCCACAAATGTGACACTTATTTGTAGACATAGTACTTTTGCAAATGGAACTCGACGGAGGGAGTATTATACAGCTCTTAAAGATTATTCGAGCATAATTAATTTTATTAAAAAAATCTTAAACTATATGAATAAATATAATTAAAGTGATTTATTTTTAAATCATAATCGTAAACCGTAGGCAATTAAAAGATTTTAATTAAAAAAGTATGCAATATTTGAATTAAAAAATAAATAATACCATACAGCTCTTAGATACTATTCGATCTTAATTAATTAATTAATAAGAAACCAGTTAAGGATTGAGTTCACGAGAGCACAATCATCATAGAGAATAAGTATTTGAAGAAGAAGAAAGAGAAAGGGATCGAGAGAGAGAGAGAGAGAAGGGGAGATAATACTCTTTTTAATTCATTAAACAACTAAATTAGGGTTTACAACTCATATTTAAACCTCATTGAGATTAATCTTGTCCTCAAGATGGAAATCCGGAAACATGAAGAAGACATCCTCCCAAGTAGAATCTGTAGGTGCAAGATTCTGCAAAGTATCAACACTTGGAGAATCTGTTTGTTGTTCCTAATTATAGTTTTGGTTGGAAGGACTTGCTGATACTATCAAATGCAATACCCATTAACCGTTCCCGAACGACATATCAACAGATGTCACATTCTGTGCTGAAAAGAAAAGATAAAATACTCTGAAGGCACTTTTTTTAAATATTAAGATGCTTAAATATTATTAGATAATGAACTTACAAATATTTAAAATAAAAGTTCGGAAATTTCTTTAGAAACACTACAATAATTTTGCCTAAAAATAATACTTAACAAAAACTTGAAAAAATATTAATAACTTTAATATCACAAATATCAAATGAACACTCAATCTTCAATATCCTCAAGTGATCGGATCTTATGTATCATCATAATGTCAACTCCTCATAATAAAACATACTAAGTCAATAATTCTCAACTCCATAATTATACTGCGGAAGCATCATCATATAAATACTTAAATCAATTTATACACATTGGTAAATCAACTAAACATAAACATATTTTTCGCTTAATTTCACTTGGCATCTCTGAACTGTAGCACTTATCCCATTGCTGTACCTTGAATTCAATTCGTCCCTTGAATATTTCATTATAAGCACTTTATTTACTAATATATGTATATATTAAGACAGATTTACTAAAATGAGGGAACAAAAATTAAATTATGTTGGATAGCAAATTTAACAAATGAAAAGAAACAACACTGCTCCCTTTTTTCTCTTGATAGCAGATTCAAAACATTGAATTCAAATATATACAACCACCACATATTGAAGGCAAATAGAAAACTAGTTTGAAATATAATAGGCAAATATAAACAACCAGTTCCCTCTTTTAATCGAGCGTGCTTCTTTTTTATGCAGGATTCAATGTGTACGCAGCAAATTCAAGACAAACAAAGCAAATAAAAACAGAACAATACCTCCTGTGACTGCACAACAATTATTCCATTTTAAAATCTCACTTTAACTTTAAACCTTGAGAACTTGTAGAGCAGCTTAGTAGCTTTTTCACAAGCAGATCATTGTTTACTACCAACTCCACGGTAGTGGCATCAGCAGAAAACCCCTTGCCAACCATTTCGTCAATAAGTTGTTTTGCCATGGACACATCATTGTGTCGGAGATATCCTTGGATAATCACGTTATAAGAGCAACTGTTTGGCAAGCAACCATTCACTTCCATTTTCCTGAACACCTTTAATGCTTCATCTAATAATCCTTCTGTACAAAGTCCATTGACGATTGTATTGTATGTGCAAACATCAGGATACAACCCTTCTATGGGAAGTCTAGAAAACAGTTCCTTTGCGTCTTTAACCTTTCCAGCCTTGAACATACCATTAATTAGGGTATTATAAATAATAAGGTTAGGCTTCAACAAGTTCTTTTGCATTTCGTGAAATAGATCCAATGCCATATCAAGACAGCTATGCTTACAAAAGCCATCTATCAAAACCGAGTACCCCACCACGTTGGGAGAATAGCCACTGGCACACAATTCCTTGAAAAACTTATGTGCAGCCCAAGGGCTCTTTTCTTTACACAAGCCACATATAAGAGTATTATAAGTGACCTGGTCAGGACTCAAGCCTTTGCAAGGCATTTCATCAAGAAGCCGCATTGCTTCACCTATCCTTTTTCTCCTACAGTAACAATGAATCAAGATGTTGTAAGTAACAACAGTAGGTGCGCAACCCTGGCTTATCATCATGTCAAAAATTTCTCTAGCTTGACTCTGGTCAGGACTCAAGCCTTGATTGCCAAGGCATTCATCAAAGAGCGCGCATTGCTTACCTAGTGCCTTTTTCTCCTACAGTAACCAATGAATCAAGATGTTGTAAGTAACAACAGTAAGGTGCGCAACCCTGGCCTTTATCATCAAATGTCAAAATTGTCTCTAGGCTTGATGCCACTTCGTTGTAATAGACATTGAATATCCATACCATCAAAGTGAATTGTAAGATGATAACATCAGTCGCTCTTTTTTCTCTGCCATCATCAATTTTACTTTTAACCGTCTCCCCCCCCCCCCATTGGGGGGGGGAATAAGGCCCCTTTTTCAACCAAAGCATTGAAGGTAATTATTATTGGTGTGATGTCTTGCTCTCAACATTTGTTAAGGCAACATAAAAGCTTCCTTCCATTGCTGACATACACAAACCCAACCGCGGATTAAGGTGCTGTACTGTCACAAACATCAGGTAAGATACCCTTACGCTCTTTAATTTTGAAGAAAGAGGTCTACATGCCTCAGCCACCAATGTGTCCTTGCAGAGGCTGTCAATGATAAGCACTGTATGACACCGAAATTAGGCAGGGCAACCTTAACCTCGAATCCATTTATATTCAAGAACAACCAAGGCCACATTGTTTTCACCATTTTACACAGACCAATTCAACAATCACATAATACGGTATAAACATCAGGTTGATACTTTTCAACAATACATCAAACGAAATAACAAATCCACAGCTTCACCAAATTTATCCTCCCTACAAAGCCCATGGATTAAGGTATTAAACGTTACAATATTAGGCTTAAAACCTAGTTTGAAGATTTTTCCCATAAGAGAGTATCCAAAATCCACATGGTCTAGGTGGCAGAAGCAATTAATCAAAATATTAAAAGAACAAATATCACGTGAAATTCCAAACATTTCCATCTGTTTAGACAGAGAAATGACAGTGCAATAATGTTTCATTCGAACAAGTGCAGATAATATTTTATTGAGTTCCATAACGGGAGGTGAGGGATTACTACGAAGCATCAAATCAAAAGAAGCCAAAGGATCAATCAAGAAAGCCAATATGCATTCATTTACATGGTTAATGAGAAAGATGTTATGGAAAGAATCAGATTTGCTTTTACCTCTCAAATATGTACTGCTTTTAAAACTTCTATAAGAAACGGAATCAAAAATACCCATTAGCCGATGAACCCGAAAAATAGTAAGGCATCTCCTGCTGCTGGTAGACATCAGCGATATCTGCCTCTGCACAAAGCGAAAGAGAAGCAGTTTTCGGGAGAAATTTGATTATCTTCCTCTGGCGTAAACAGTTTTTGCAAGGAAATAGTTTTTGCTCTCGTTTAGTCTAATTTGATTACCTAATTTTTTCGATTGGATCGGGTCACCCACCATGAAACCAGACCCAAAATATGAAAATATGATTACTTCTTCAAAACCCAAAATTGCCCCTACCACATTTCTACTAATTTTTTTTTTTTTTTGAAAATAAATAGTAAAATTTCATTACTGAAATTCAAACGAATACAAAATTATGTGGTATAAAAAAAAATAATTTATTTATTGACGAATAAGTTTTTTCCCTTTAATCATCAAAGATAATTTATTTAGATAAAATTAATGGTTTATAGAGCTTGACTTTTTAATCTTTTAAAATTAATTTACCAATTTATCCAAATATCAATTAAATAATTCCAAATATCAATTAAATAATTTATACTATTATTATTTCACATATTTAAATCTATTACTTAATATATTGGGAGTTCCACTACATTGGACAAAATTGATATCAAAAACAGCAAAATAATATAAATCAAATTGATAAATATTATTTTATTTTTTTTTAGAAAATTCATTAAGTGTTATTTTTATTATCAGCCTCAATAAACCGGTGAATATGAAGACTGTGCAATGAAACGGTCAACAACCACATATTCTATTTATGAAAATATAGAAGACTGTGCAATGAAACGGTCAACAACCACATATTCTATTTATGAAAATATAAAAAGGAAAAGGAAAAGGAAAAAGAAAAAAAGTTCCCGACCGATACTAACAGAATGGCATGTGAAATTAGAAGAACAATTTACAACTGAGAATCAATCAGTATAGATTATTATAAAATTTAAATATATAGAGATAATGCAATAATTAAAATTTCAAAGTTTTAAAGTCTATGGAATAGAAAAAAAAAATTAATTTACAATAGATTTTCAATATTTCATGATATCTATCTATAATTTATAATCTATTTATCTATAATAATGGTCTATCTATCTAGACTATTTATAAATGTAAGAAAGAGGAAATAATGAAATTTTCTATATTATCTTTAATTTAATTAAAATTTCGAATATATATACTTTTAGTCAGATTTTTAATGCATTCTAATTGGAGAAAATATGTTTATCCTTTTAAAGAACCTTTTAAGTTAGATTCCATTTTTTATGCATTTTAATTTGATAAAATATGTACATTTATATTACCTATTTGATCTTCCAGTATTATTATCTAATAATTTTTATAATTAATAGATTTTGATGTTCTTAATTATAGATTCTCACATAAAACTTAAATTGAAAATCAAACTTAAATTCTTTTAATTTATTATGTTTTGAGTATTTAAAATATGTTTAAATAATTTACTATTAAAGTCTATTAGTTAAATACAATGAAATTAAAATAAATTTTTTAAAATTTTCTCTTTGACTTAGACTTATTTGGATTATTTACACATTATTATATTTTAAAATTTTTTCTAACTCTAATTTAACAAAAAGAATAGAATTATGGAATTATAGTATTTTACTAATATATCAAATAAGAATGTTTTTCCTCTTTTAATCTAATGAAATCTTTTTTATAATGTTTTCTAGCATTTCCATTTTCAGCTTTTAAATTTAAAGATAAAATAAAGAGAAAATTCAAGAGCTCTATTCTTATTCAATAGTTCATTCTACTTTTTTTTTTTAAATTTATCTAATTTCATTTATCTTTTATGATTTAATTAGATGTACTTTTTTAAAGCAATTTAAAATTGATATAAAGATAATTAGACCTTTGAGCTTTTAATTTTTTTTCAAATTTTTAATAAATATATAGGACTTTGAAATTTTTGAATTTAATCTTATTTATATTTATTTATAAACTTGACAAACGATCTTCTATTACCAATATTATTATCTACACATTGATCCCTATCTGGAACTCTAAGCAATTTAATTTTAGATTTTATGCAAAACACATGGAATCCAAAATATTACATACCATTAATAAAACTTCAACTTAACTTCATCTTATTAGAAGATGACAATATCAAATTTATATTTTATATAGAGCAAATATTGATTTATTAGATTAATGTCATAGTATCTCCAAATTATAAAATATTTTGCAATATGGTAAATGCAAATTTTTAGTTATTTATATAATTAATTAATAATAAAGCTATATTTTTTTATTAAACAGATTAGTTATTTATATAATTAATTAATAATAAAGCTATATTTTTTTATTAAACAGAGAAGAAAAAATATTGTTTTATTTTCAATTAGATTTTATATTGTAAGGCATGTTAAAAAAAATATTCATTATATTTATAATCTAAATAAGGATTTATACTTCAATATTATATAAATAAAAAAATTAAATGATTATATAACGAATAAAAGCACGTTATAAAAAAACTAGTAGCATTAAAAGTAATATATTCATTGTTAATAATCTAATGTTTTATGTTTTATATGCATATAATATAAAAATGGCCAAATACATAGATTGCTCTCTGAATAAATTAACCCTACAGCACCCCCAATTTTGCCGAAAACCAATTATGTGCTTGAAGTCAAAAATTTTACACCAAGTAAACACCTTTCCACACCTTTCGACATTGGCAACCGCGCGTGTATTACAAATAAACTGAGTAGGATAAGTAAATAAAAATGGGACTCAATTTTATTTACACATCAACAATTTTAAAATTAAAAAAATAACCTCATCAATCCCGTCCAAACGCCTCTCTCTCTCTCTCTCTCTCTCTCTCTCTTCTCTCTCTCTCTCTCTCTCTCTCTCTTCTCCTCTCTCCTCTCTCTCTTCTTCTCTCTCTCTCTCTCTCTCTCTTCTCTCTCTCTCTCTCTTCTCTCTCTTCTCTCTCTCTTCTCTCTCTCTCTCGCTCTCTCTTCTCTTCTCTCTCTCTTCTCTCTCTCTTCTCTCTCCTCTCTCTCTCTCTCTCCTCTCTCCTCTCTCTCTCTTCTCTCTCTCTCTTCTCTCTCTCTCTCTCTCTCTCTCCCTTTGTGTATGAAACAACAATCGCATTAAACAAAAATAGAGCATTTCTGTTTATAATACGAAATATAGAGAAATGACAATGACATTTGAAAACCCTACCTCTTTTTGAGAGGGCGGGCCATGTGTTAGGAAGGCTCGTTGGGGTTTCGATGATGTCACTTACTAATTTTTACTTGTTTGATTATTTGAATGTATAATTATTTGTAGGTGCTGATGCTGTACCATATATTTGACTGGTTGTATTCATTTTAGTATTTTAGGAAGCATTTCGTGTGATGTGTTATTGCATTAATCATTATTTTTAGTATTTTAGGAAGCATTTCGTGTGATGTGTTATTGCATTAATCATTATTCATTATAAAACTCACTCTTCTTTTATTCAATTTTTCTAGGAAGTAGATTCCTCATTGTTTCGACTAAAGTTCTGTTTTCTCCACCTCAGAGCTAGAAAAGTAACATTTAGAGTCAGCAGTTATTTAAATTATGTAGCTATATGTATGAGAACTTATTTATATCTATCTGTTAGTGAATTCCGCAGTTGTAGGATTGTGACCGATAAACTTATATAGATGTTTAGTTAATAATAAAAATAATAAACATTTAGTTAATCTAATCGTTTATATGAAAATTAAGATTTTTGTTAGTCTTCTCTTGAATATATTTATATGAAATTCTATGAATAAATATATATT